GAGCGACCCGGTGAAATGATGATCCTAGACCACACGAGGAAATTTCACAATTAAAGACTGTTGGTTTCAGGACGTCAGCCTCAACGACTGTTGGAGTCGAAATGACCGAGAAATCCATCGGTAATGAAGTACTGAGCCCTTGCAGAAGTAGTGAATGAAATTGCTTGATTTCAAGACAGACTTGCTTTTTTTGAACTCAGCCGTTATGTCCTTTCAAGGAGCTTCTGAAACCAAGGTTCATCCACAGCTTTTATCCGTCATGCAAGGAGTTTTTTTAAATAGTGTACATTGGCCGATTCCCTTCGAAATATAATTTCGGTTTAGTTGATTTGGACGGTATGCCACAGGGCGGTACATATCACGGAAGGATAATTTGTATTCCCAGGATTCTAGAAACAGGAACCTTGCAGAAGGATCTGCATGAAAGGTTACCGGAAGGGGCTGAACGAGCAATTATCCCGTTCGATCAAAGTGGACGCAGTGAATAGAGAATTTTAATGATTGAGTCTTGTTCCTTTGAATTATGGTCAGTCAAATTACCATTTCTTATTTAAATATTAAAAAATTAGAAAAGGTTCAAAAATGGCCCAAAAATCATTTGAAATAAAAGCTGTATAATAAAATATTCATGGTTATCATGGTTTTAGGCAAGTCAAGTCACAATTTGCCGCATGAAATATTTTTATAGATTGGTAAGAACCTTCAAGTTGCTATTTTAAGGATGTAGTTTTCACGCTGCTCATCCTTTTGGGCCAAACGTATTTATATTTGCTATATAGCCGGCTAGTTTCCGGCCAAATTATTGCACTGTTTCATCTCAGGGCTTTTCTTCTGGGTATTTTTGTAAAACTCATTTAAACATGAAAGACTGTAAATTTTTATTTTGAAAAGAATAATTGCTTGAAAGTAATCCGAGGATGGGGTAGAAATTTGCCGGCTCTGAGCATGAAAGAGAATCTGACTCTGACTGGTCCTGTCAGTTTCAATTAGTGGTGAGCAAAACGCATTTTCCATCCTACGGCCCACAAACTTGGCCACATGGAGTATTTTATAAATATTGATTTGTCTAAATTGTTCCAAATCCACGAGAATGTTTCTCTTAGTGGTTAACATTACACAATCACGCTAAACTGGGAACGCAGTTTCAGTGAAATGAAAGTGCGAGAAGTAGCAAATAATATAATCTGGGTAGATTTTAGTTTTAGATGGTAATTATGCAACCATTTGTAATAATATATTTAACTTTTCTTAGTAAATTGGGTCGTATTTAATAGATAATGAGGCTAGGTAGGTTGACCAAATTTAGCCACAATCATTTCTTAAAAAAATTAATAATGTTTTAATAAATTTAATAAAGTATTTATTGTCCCGTCGATTCGACATACCTCTCCGTCATTTAAAAATTTAAAGATTAAAGTAATTTAAAAATGAAGTGTTTTTTTAACTGAAGAATTTGATATTTCAGGAGATAATTTATACATTTATTATAAAAACAACGAATTGTAATGTATAATGAGGAAATCAATCTTATTGCTCTAAGTTTAATAATTCTTCAGTTTAATGTTATGGTACGCCTGTCTAGCTAGGGTGTTTCATTACCTGACAGTATTGCAATTACCATGAAACCTAAATATTTTTGGCTTTTCCCTTTATCCCCGTTTATCTTTATCGAATAAATTTTGACTGGAGTAAAAATTACGCTGATAAAAAATAAACGAGATATACGCTAAAACTGATTTAAAAAACAGATTTTTTGAAAGAATTTACACTTGTTCTTAACGGAAACGACGCTCTTGAGGGGATTGGCGCAAGAAATAAGGTCGTAAATCTCGAAAAAAAATGAAATTAAAAAATATATAATTTTTTCGACAATTTTGCGCTCGTTTTCAATAGAATGAATCGATTGGCACAAGAAATAAGGTCCCAAACCTCAAAATAAATAAAAGAAAAGAAAAAATTTTTTTTTCGACGAATTTGCGCTTGTTTTCAACGGAAACGACCGTCCTGAGGGAATTGGCGCAAGAATTTATCGCGCAAACGAGACAAAACGGAAAAATCCCAAAAAATCAGAAAAATTTTTCGACGATTTTGCACTCGTTTTTAATGGAAACGACCATAAGTCGGTTGGCCGAAGAATTAAGTTCGTTAACTTGTTAATTTTCGAGTTAAAGTAGAAAAAAAAAATTTTCTCGACGATTTTGCACTCGTTTTTAATGGAAACGACCATAAGTCAGTTGGCCGAAGAATTAAGATCGTTACCCTCTTAATTTTCGAGTTAAAGTAGAAAAAAAAATATTTCTCGACGATTTTGCACTCGTTTTTAATGGAAACGACCATAAGTCGTTTGGACGAAGAATTAAGCTCCTTAACTTCTTAATTTTTGAGATATAGTGGAAAAATCGGAAAAATATTTTTCGACGAATTTGCACTCGTTTTCAATGGAAACAATCATAAGACGGTTGGCGCAAGAATTAAGCCCTTAAACGAAATAGTTTTTGGGATAAAACGCAAAAACCCGAAAAAATCAGAATTTTTTTCGACCAATTTACACTTGTTCTTAACGGAAACGACCCTCCTGAGTCGATTGGCGTAAGAATTAAGGTCGTAAACCTTGAAATAAATGAAATTAAAACAATATATGACTTTTTCAACGAATTTGAGCTCGTTTTCAACGGAAACGACTATCCTGAGTCGATTGGCACAATAATTAATGTAACCCTCTAAATAAATGAATTTAAAAAAATATTTTTTTCGACAAATTTGAGCTCGTTTTTGATAGAAACGACCCTCCTGAGTCAATTGGCGCAAGAATTAAAGTCGTAAACTTCAAAATAAACGAAATAAATTTTTTTTTCCGTAGAAATTGTGCTCGTTTTCGATAGAAACGACCCTCCTGAGTCGATTGGCGCAAGAATTGAGGTTGTAAACTTCAAAATAAATGAAATAATTTTTTTTCTCGATGAATTGCGCTCGTTTTCAACGGAAACGGCCCTCCTGAGTCGATTGGCGCGAGAATTTAGCCCGTAAACTAGACAAAACGGAAAAAATCTGAAATTTTTTTCGTCCAAATTGCACTCGTTTTCAATGGAAACGACCATATTAAGTTGGTTGGCTCAAGAATTAAGCTCGTTAAGTTCTTAATTTTCGAAATAAATTGAAAAATCCGAAAAATATTTTTCGACAAATTTGCACTCGTTTTCAACGGGAACAACCCTCCTGTGTCGGTTGGGGCAAGAATTAAGCCCTTAAACGGAATAGTTTTTGAGATAAAACGCAAAAATCTGAAAAAATAAGAATTTTTTTCGACGAATTTGCAATCGTTTTCAATGGAAACGACCATATTAAGTCGGTTAGTCAAAGAATTAAGCTCGTTGCTTCTTAATTTTCGAGATAAAGTGGAAAATTAGGAAAAATATTTTTCGACGAATTTGAGCTCTTTTTCAATGGAAACGACCATATTAAGTCGATTGACCCAATAATTAAGCTCGTTAATCTCTTAATTTTCATGATAAAGCGGAAAAATCCGAAGAATATTTTTCGACGAATGTACACTCATTTTCAATGGAAACCGCTGTATTAAATCTGTTGGCCTAAGAATTAAGCTCGTTAAATTCTTAATTTTCGAGACAAAGTGGAAAAATCCGCAAAAGAATTTTTCAACGAATTTGCACTCGTTTTCAACTGAAACAACCCTCCTGGGTCGATTGGCGCAAGAATTAAACCCTTACGCGAAATACATTTTGAGATGAAACGCAAAAACCGAACAAATCCGAATGTTTTTCGAAGTTTTTCCACATGTTTTTAATGGAAACCTCAACGAATCTTAATTGGGAAATTTTATCACACCCACCATACTCTACGGACATTTCACCTTCTGACTACTATTTATTTCGGTCATTACAAAATTGTTTAATTGGCCAAAAAATTGAATTTGAGAATGAAATAGATCTAAAAGGTGGCAAAACGTAATTGCAAACAATGGACAATACATCTCTAAATAAGTGAAAAACATATCAGCTATAAAAATATGAAAATGTATACTGTAAAAAAGACATTCTTTTCGTGCTAACCCAATATTTCAAACTGTATAACGAGAAAAAATTTATTGAAATGTAATGTTGATAAATCAAAAATATATGTTTGAAAAAATCAACCGTATGTGGAAAGCATGATTTTCTATTTGTCTTACAAAAGCAACCCCTTCTCCCGAATAAATACGGTAAAAGACAAACAGGTGGATCAAATACAGTGTCGAAAGCAGAAACGTGTGCGACCGAAGACAAATAGGGAGTAGGCAATGGAGGCCGGATGATCAGAATTTCCGTTTGAACAACCTTATTTGAGGGTAAAGTTAATAAATTCAGATAGATTATTTTTGCCGGGGCACGTCTTCCGTTCCAAATCGCTTAAAATACGCTAGTTTGTTCGTGTGTGTCATTGCTCTCTGCGGCATGACCTCGGGAGGCCTCCGTCCGGAGTCTGATGACCCACGTTTCAGCGTCCCGGGGGCAAACGGCCGAAGAGGCCGGACGTCGAAACAGCCAGCGGGCTTTTTTCCTTCTGAAGATCGTAACGAAAGGGGAATCCGGAAAGCGAAAGGGGGGAGCCGAGGAAGAGGAAAGTGGGCTCATTCGTCTGCGGATGTGTGGGTGAGTGTTGTGCAGCGTTACGGGAGGCTGGCGAGCAGGTTTATAGCGGCAACGTCGCCTGGAATGTCGATAGGTATCTCGGCTTAGATTCACTTACACACGCAAGATATTGCCCAGCAATGACCCCGACCGAGTGAACCCTCGTATTGACATTCGGCCAGGTGTCGTCGCCCTCGCGGATTCCCGTCTCCCGCCCCCGGCCTGCCACCGCCTCCGGCCTCCGGCCCGGGGTCATTTCCCATCTTCGGGCCAAGGGTCACCGCCAGGGTAACAGGTACCCTCAGGTGTTTTCGGTTTAAATAACTGAAGAAAAGAGTAGAGGGGCTGGATTTAAATCGGTCGTACCGGAGAAAAGCGGTGGTGGGGTGGCCAAGTGCGCGCGCATCACAGTGTTCCGAGGAACACACAACTGAGAAGCCAGATCGGCACGGAGTTGTTTATAGTGATCAGTGAAGTCGGTCCTACCTTTCCAACATCACAATAACTGTCAAAAGGGCACCAGACCTCGGCCCAGCTCATCGCCACTCTGACTCGGTTTTAACAACAGGTGAGACCTGTCCCGATATCAATTTTATCTCTGGACAAAAACCTTTTTTCACATCGACTCCACCTGCATTGAATATTGCAAATACATACTTAAAAAAAAGAAGAAATTTTATAGTTGAAAGCCTTGGAAACCGTCTTTTGAAATGTCAACATCGTTACCTGAGACCTTTTACCTCGACTTGAGAGGTCACGGCTAGGTTTGAAAAGCAAGCAAGATGACTGCTAATTTGTTACGAAACTTCGAACCGGGGATAAACAATTATTTTTTTAAACGTTTAAAATTTACATCGACAAGCCCTGTGAACAATTTAAATTTTAATATCGGTTATAATGAAATCCCAAAATCGAATCTTTTTATCCTCTTAAATGCGTCCATGTAGTAAGTTCTTTCAGTACTTAACGATAGTTTGTTGAAGTCGTGAGGAGCGGTCAAGAAAGAGGTAGTTTAGACACCTTTATTTTTTTGCCCACGTTTCGACCTTTATTCGGCTCATGTCTTTATGCCCTGAAGATGACCCAAATAAAGGTCGAAACGTCGGCAAAAAATAAAAAAATGTGTTTTTCTAAACTACATCATTCTTAAACGCTCCTCACGACTTTAACAAATTATAAAATAACCTGTCACAGAACACACATTTCTTACACAAGATAGTGAAATTGTTTAAATAAGTATGCTATATGTGAATTGATTAGGGTTTTTTTCTGCCCAAAGGCTTTGGATGCTATACTGTAGAAATATTATCGAAAGGAATCGGGTTAACGCCCCCAATTACGTAAATTATACACCCGAAAGATAATCGTCAAACTATATTATTACGCTTTAAATACGGACAATGAAAACGATTTCTATTCTAGGTGTATTTTTTTCTGCTAAAAATAAATGCATTTGTCCAAAATAACCCAATGTAATAAAGCAAAGAGGAAAGAAGGTAGAAAGAAGTCTTAAGACCTTTTCTGGGCTTTTCTAAGGGGGTGGAGACGCGAGTTGTCCCGTTTGTTACAAGTATCGGATTAAGTTTGGGTGCTATTGTTTTGTTAAAAACTAAGTTGGAGCCGGGTGGTAAAGTGGTCTCGGGATTGCGGTGGATGCCATTTAGCATCCGACTTTTCCAACTTTCAATCCGCCGGCTTTTCCTTGCCGGGCTTTTTTCTTCGTCAGTTTTTCCGATTCGATTTTTGAGTTAAAAATAGCCCGACGCTGAAACGGTCGAGAAAGCTTAATCGGAGGCAAGGTCGTTCCTCGGCTCAAATCGCGTGCAGTCTGCTGGCCGTAGGAAATCCGGTTTGGACATTGGGATCTTTGGACAAAGGTGACCGATTTTGTTTGATACGACCGTCATTCCTGACACGTAATACCTTGCGCTTACCAAATAAAGGGATGGTTCAAGAACCTGGCTCAATTTATGAAGCAAATTTGATTTGAAGGGATGTACCTATCTGGTCTGATGATCCTGGTTTGCAATCCGCCCTTTTGATATGTGGAGAAAAACGATCAAACTGCAGAAGATTTTAATTTTCATATGGCACAAACACGGAAATGTTAAACTATTTTACACGATTGCTAAGTATAAAAAAATTCGAAAGTTTCTTTAAAATATTTAATCGATACCTTCACGTGTTCTGAAGGTAAAAACAAATAAAAATAGTATTTTTATAATTTTAATTTTAGTATTTGTCCACATAATATTTTTTGTGAAATATTGCAAATAATAGCATAGTAGGATCAATACACAGGGTACTGCAGATTTTGCCTAAAAATTAATTTTTCCAAAAAATCTTCACGGTTTTTCTCCCGAGTATATATGATGAATTTTGATTCATTCAATATGGCTTTTTTTAAAATTAAAGTAGTTTAGGGAGCAAAAAATAATATGAAAATAGAGCTTTTAAAATTTTTAGTCTAGTATTTGTCCACACCTTATTTTTGCTGAAGTAGTGTACACAGTACATTGAGTTCATTATCAAAATATCGAACAAGTCTAATCTTTTAAATTTAATTATATAGTACATATTACCGTACAAGGTATCGCAGATTTTTTCAAAAAATCTTCAAGGTTTTTCTCAGGGGACTGCAAAAAAATGATGCATTTAATTAATTCGATATGGCTTTTTTAAAAATTAAACTAGCTTAGTAGGCAAAAACAAATACAAAAATATAGCTGTTAAATATTTTTAGACTAGTGTTTTTTCACATAATTTTTTCGCAGAAAAATTGTACAGGTTAGTGAACACATTGGGCTCAGTATTAAAATTGTTCTAAGTAATTCTTTAATTATTCTAAAATTTCCTTACCAAAATCAATCGATAACAGTAAGAGAAAATAGTTATTTTTATGCGTGACTCAAATTCTTGTCTGAAGATCTCAAAAAATACAGGATTTTGAATAGGAAAAGCACACTTAGTCAAGAGGCCGCAAAAAATGGACGGAAAATCGATCACCAAACATTGAAATTTACTAGAAAGCTAAAGGTTGACTTTATAGAGCGCTGGTGAGTTATGAAAATATTTCGAATAAATAATAAATAAAGGAAATTAGTTTAATTTTTTTAAAAATATTGATAAAACTGAAAAAAAGAGATTTTGTCTTGTAACTCTTTTTTTCAGTTTTATTTTTTTCTATGAAAATGCTTTCGATGCTTTGAAATTTATTTTCAATAATTAAAAAATATACTTCAAGTATTCGATTTATTTTTAAAAATACCATTAATTGCAGGTTATTCTTATCTGTCCTTTAAGATTGTTTCTAATCAATTACCATGGGTCAAAAAAGCTTACAAGTGCTTTCATACAAGTTTATTTGAACTTAAGCCACTAAAATTTTTGCCAATTTTAAATGTAAAATTTAACGTGTTGGCAGTTTTATTAATTTGAAAATCAAGACAATCCTTTATTAAAAGGGTTAATCGTTTATTTCCACTTTATCGTAATTATTCGGAAATCGTGAGATGCGGTCTTGTGTGATGTAGGTTTCAGTAAAACATTTTCTTTATCGTACCAACGTTTCGATCTTTATTGAGATCATCTTCAGGGCCTGCAATTTACAAACATTGTTTAAATTTAACAAATACATGTAGGATGTGGAAAAAAGTGAATTTACACAATGTAAAAAATATTTTTTATGTTCAATCAAAGTATTTCTACTCGTAAAATCAAAACCTACATCACACCAGACCGCATCTCACTATTTCCGAATAATCATCGACTAACGGTCACTAATCACCACATTTTATCTTAATGTTAAGATAACAGGAGGAACCATTTTTGTTTTTGTTGAAGTGGTAAAAAAAAACTATATCACAATGTAGTGAAATTTACACCAATATTTTTAAATAATTACTATTTTTAATTAATTGAGCATAGCCGCAAGGAGTGTTAATAATTTTAACTTCAGTCTTCAGAAATTTAATCGATTTTTAGTATCCTGACCTAAACAACAGAATTAGTACGCTCTAACATAAAAAAAAAAAACAAGATTTTTATTATCAAATACTTCCAGCGAATATATAAAACGAAATTATTTACGATGTTTTCTTACATTTCGACCTCAACAGTTTAAATGATGATTTTTCCTTCTAGAAGTTGGGATAATAGATCATCTAAAAAAAACCCAAAAAAAAAACAGTTTATCTTTCAATCCACAACGTTCGGATTTATTTTAATCCTTGCTCAGGTGAGTTAACGCATTGGTAAAAACAGTGGTCGTCAGTCATTAATATTTTGTAACAGTTTATTTAAAGAAAAGAATGTACCACGCTGGCGATTTTTTATGACTGATGACCACTGTTTTAACCGCTGCGTTAACTCACCTGAGGAAGGATTAAAATAAATCCGAAACGTTGTTGATTGAAAGAAAGGCTGTTGTTTTTTTGAGATGATCTATTATCTCACCTTCGAGAAGGAAAAATCATAAGTTAAAATTATTTACCATTCCAACTGTCGAAATTCGTTTCTGGCTAAAGAAATTGTAATAGCCTGTAATATTATAGTTCTCGTGGTTAATAGTTTATTTCCTGTTACGTTTCAGATTGAATAACGGCTTCTTCATCACTATATTATATTAAATGGTTATGCAGAGTATTTCAAGCAAAACATATATTTTTAAAATGTGCGATTTATGCCAAGCAGACATGTTTATTGTAACGTTTAAAAAAATAAATGTGCTTGTAATACCATAAATGTATACCTTTGGTTTATATAGTGATTGGGTCAGGTTTCTTAGAAGTCTATTTATTCTCTGTACCCTACGAAAAACGATTTCCAATGGAACAAAGAAATCGGGTCATAAATATTAGAGCATAGTGATATTTTCGGACTATTTTCAAATATAAAGGGAATTGTGATATTAGAAATATTTTCTATCAGGTTTCTTTAGCCATTCTCTCTTGTTTTTGTATTTGCCCTACAGAAACATATGTCGGACCAAAAGCTCATTTATATTTTAGTAGTTTTTTTGAAGTTTTTCTCTTATTGATATTGAATTGTAACGTATAATAATTTTTTTGTGTCATTGTTTTTAATTATTTTTACACGGAATGATGAACGTACGCACCTGCGCGAAACGTTCGCCCCATTGAAAAATTTATTTGTGCTTTTGGCAATGCGAGAATGGATCACATCTGATCTGGCACATGGTGACAATTCCTATGACAATGTTTATCTTGGCAGGAGTTCAGCCGGATCTCCGACCTTCTCTCATTTAGTCTTAGCGGTTCATTCAACGCTGCGGAACCGCCGTCATTCATGCTGAAAATAATAATTTGTGGAATGTTGAATCTATTATTTAAAAAAACGCTTCGAAGATATTTTTGTACTCGGAGATTTCAATCTCGGAAATTAAGTGAGGTAGAAGTTCTTTCATTTTTTGTTTTAAAGCAAATAAGCCCTCAGCCCTGTCTGTGGAAGGCCAAGGTTCAAAGATCTCTTTGGGATCGCGCATTCATCCCGGGAATATTTGAATCGTGATTAGGACAAAAAGCTGTGGCGAAAACGGTTCCAGTTTAG